ACGGGCACGGGGTGGCTTGCTTTGAAGACTTTTTTTCTTCGTTCCCCATTTTGGAGTGTTCGGGAGGCATTTTCACAATTCGGTTTAATAAAAGATTGTGCTTTTTTTTCAAAAAAAATATGTGTGGGTAATCAATTAAAATAGCAATGAGACCCTGACAGACGGCATACTATTAATACAACTCTTAAAATCTGCCTCGGTTTGTACCTTGTGTCTATACAGCTCTTGAGCAATCTCTGGTAAAAAATGATTGGATGTGTAATTGGCATTTGTATCATGATTTTTGTACAAAGGATGACCTATGCTTGGTTATAGATCATAGGAGGATCTGTGCTTGGTCATCCTACTTAATTTTAAATTAGTTTTAATGACAAAGCCATGGGTTTATATTTGTTATCCAGTGTATTGATCAATAATCTAAAACAATTCTGCGTAATGTATTTTGTGACCCTAATTGGGTGAGGCTGCCCCAGATAGAACCACTACAAAATTTGGGGGTCCTGGATTCTGGGCTCTTGCTCAGTGAGAAAGTAGTAGCTGTGGACAGAAGGGCCTTTGAACAGATCTATTAGGTGTGCAAATTATTTCCTTTCCTGATGAACAGGCCATACACAGTCATTCCTTCCTTAGTCACTTTCCATTTGGACTATTGTAATATGTTTTCCAAGAGCCAGTTTAGTGTAGTTGTTAAAGCAAGAGGCTAGAAACTGGGGGACTGAGTTCCATTCTTACCTTAAGCTTAAAGGTAGTAGAGTGACTTTGGGCCAGTCAATCCCAGATCTTGGAAGAAAGCAATGGAAAACTACTCTGGACAAATCTTGCAAAAGAAATTGCAGGAACCAGTCTCTGCAGTTACCAGAAGTTAAGACTGATTCAAAGGCAGCATAAAAAAGTGCTCCACATGGGGCTACCCTTGAAGGTTATCTTTGAAGATTAGTCTGAAGCTAACATCCAAAATGCAGAATGGGTGCTTCTTGCTTACACAAAATGCTGCTCTGTTAACTGCACTGGCTTGCAATTCATGATGTTACTTATAAAGCTCTTAATAGCTCAGTTCCTAGTTATCTACAGCAGAGTTCCCCAACCTTTCTGGCTTGGCCCAGAAGGAAAGGGAGAAGCAGGGAAATGTGCGCACGTGTGGCCCACGTGCACTTGTGCAAATGGGCATGCACATGGCGCTAGCGCACATGCACAAGCAGGATGCACAGCCGCAGTGGCACCCATGCACATGCACAAACAGTCCGCTGGCACCTGCATGACACTGGTGGCAGTGCTAGGGCCCCTGCGCATGCGCAAATGGGGCTGCTAGCGCCCATGTGGCAGCACTATCGCAAGTGGAGGGGTGCTCGCTAGCTGTTCCCACGGCCCAGTGGCCAATAGGCCACGGCCTGGTACAGGGCTGCGGACCATAGGTTGGGGACCCCTGATCTACAGGGATGTTTTTCTATTGTTACTGCCTAAGTAAGATCTGAAAGTGTTGGCAAATTTCTGTTCTTAGCTATAAAACACACACCATACGATACTCAGAAAACATTTCTTGGTAGCTGTTTTGTCCTGTGGAACAACATGACCACTGAGTTCTTTGTGGTCCAACTCTTGAGGCTTCCATAAAAATCTGGCTCTTGTCATACCTGCAGGATTGTGGTCTGGTCTCAATATATTTGTGGTGTTATGTTTTCCAATAAACCCTATATACAGTATTTGGTGATATTGTTTTTAGTTGTTATTTACCGGACGTTTTAGTCCTATTGTATAGTCTCTAGAGTCACTTTTTGATTAAGGCAGCACAGAAGTTGACCAAAGGAAAAAAAGAGGCCCTAGAGCTGGAAACACTCTTATTTACATAAGATTATTACCTGTAAAAACTGGAAATGACCATGCTAGTTTTATTATCACATACTTCATCCAGGTTTTAAGAGAGATGGGAGGCTGAAAGTATTAGTAAACTGGTTTGCTGAGTTCTTCTAATGCGGGTGCTGTAAAAAGTAAAGGCTGCTATTCAGATGTCTGGAAGGCACGTTCTTATCTTCTTCCATGAGTTGGAGCCCTAAGAGCAGGCAAGCATTAATTTAGGTAGTCCAAAATAAAGCAGATGATAACACAACAGTCTGGTTTACTGGCCAATTTGAGAGAGTGCAGTCTGATCTGTGGAATGGTTTCACAGATGTGTTACTGAACAGATTTGTTCTAGTGTTTGTGTTAGATTGCATCTTTCAAAGATACAAGAACAAGTAGCACAGGAGAAAAGGGAATATGAAAAAAATGGTTTAAGAGGCTGAGGGAAATAATTATATGTACAGGATGAAAAGAGTGGAAAAAACTGGGAAATAATGTGCTATTGAAAGAAATCATCTTCAGTCGCAAGTATTAAATTTACATCAACTGTAATTTATATCAATCACTACACCAACTACAGAGCCTGTTTAGTGTAGTGCAGGGGTCTTCAAACGTGGTCCTTTTATAACTTGCGTGCCTAGCCAGGCACGCTGGCTGAGGAATTCTGGGAGTTGAAGTCCACAAGTCATAAAAGGACCAAGTTTGAAGACCCCTGGAGTAGTGTTTGAGGTACTCGCTTAGAAAACAGGAGACTCTTGAGTCCTAGTTCTGCCTTTGGCATGAAAGCTGGCTGGGTGACTTTGGGCCAGTCATTCTATTCTCTCAGTCCAACACCCCACAGGGTTATTATTGTGGGGAAAATAGGAAGGAGTATCAGGCCTGTTTGCTTCCTTGGGTTATTTATAAAAAAAGGTGGGCTATAAAAATCAGCAAGACTTAAAAATTCAGAGGAAGTATCAAAATTTTGGAACAATTTTACAATATTTTATAACTAAAACCTTTGATAAAGCTGTCAGTACCCTAGTTATTTTTAATGAAAATGATCTGTGGCTTGGTATTTTGAGTAAATCAAATGTATATAAATGAGAACAAGTCATGCAAATGGTATGTTTGTGTAAACATAAAGTGGAAATGAAGTAAAAATTAGAGAAATAAATAGTATGTCATAGATATGAAGCATACAGTAAATACTACAGTTTTCCATTTCATAGCTTATTTTTATGCAACAAAATTATTGTTGTTTCTGACTGTCAGAAGCCAAATGGGAAAGTCACAAATGGTGATCACCTGACCCAGGTATGCTGCAACTATCATAAATACGTACTGGATACCAAGTGCCTGAATTTCGATTACATAAACATGGAGATGCTATGACAGTTGTAAGTGCAAGGTTAGTTGTAAATCACTTTTTTCAGTGGCAGTGTAACTTCAATCACTAAATTAATGGTTCTAAATCGAGAACTACCTATATTCTGTTTATCTAGGAAATGCCCTATGTTATGACCAGGGCAGAATCATATGGGCCTAAATCCTCTGAGATCCATGTGCTGGATTAGACTATATAGCCTGTTAATCTACACAATATATCTTACCCAGATTCTGTTCCAGAAGAAATAGGGGATATTTTTTTGTGTATTGCTCCAGTTGAAATTTCAATACCATGTCCTTTAAAACAACAATATATCTGTAAAGAACTCTGAAAAATATATCCTGAGAATTATCAGCAAACTCAAGCAATTTAA